GCACATTGTTGAACACTGTCCACTCGCCAAGCTTTGTGACGGTCTGAGGATGCCACTGCATTCAGATGGCGCACACTAAATAAATAAATAATTTGCCCGCAACGCCAACGACAACAACGATAATAGGTGTATCATATGTTTATTGCAGACATCCTCGCCCGGCCTCAACTCTTTTCACGGTCTTGTTTTGGCATCTTTGGTCATTTCCATTCATCAATGTTTGGCTACACGTGGGGGTGAGGGAAACCAGCACACCCGGAGAGAAACCACCAACGCATTCGAGGGGTTATAGCACTCTCTCCTATGGAAGCTCCACTCTACAGACGGGCTCATCAGTAACCTTTACTTGCTGTGTACGACCATCCCCCTGGCCACCTCGAAAGCAAGTCCGTCACGTTTTGGCCATTTCCCCCACGCTTTTAAAACGTCGCCGGTCAGTCTTGCACTCCGAGCTCCCAAGAAAAGAGAATGTCATGCCTGTAAAGAGAGTGTGAGCAGAGCCTCACCTGACCTTACCCGACGTGGTATCGTTCCGCTCGCAGCGCCGCGCTCGTGATAAACGTTGATAAAAGTTTTAAACGATCCTCGGTGGGAACTTTAAACTCTCTTGCGATAACACTCGAAGGCACAGTTACTGGCTACCTCCCCCCCCAACTCCTTTCGCAACGGAGGCTTGGCCCGAAAAAGAGAGACAAAGCACCGTCTATGCGTCACAATAGGGTACAGAAACGGCCCCAGCAAACACGCACGAGCGCGCAACTCTTAAGGTCGACATAAAAGCACAAGTATATAGTTTCACGTATTCCATGCGGCACATGCGTGTGTGTGTGTGACCATGTGTTTTTTTTACTTAAGCCCTTGTGACAACAAAAGCTTTGGTGATGGTGGTGGGGGGTGCCGGCAGCATGCAGGACAGTCACTAATGAATAAATCTTAGTTGGTGTTTTGCTGTGTGGTGGTTGCTGTGAGTGCACCGGTAGTGGGGATGGCGGCTGCGGTGGTGATAGTGTAGCGGTTAGCGCGCTTGCACTACGAACCTGGCGACCCGGGTTCGATTCCCACTCGCGGCCAACACCAGTGACGATTATCTGAACCGGTCTTGGGCGTCCCCTAAGTCGACTCAGCCTCACATGGGTACCTGGTGCGGTGTGTAAACATCGCCACTGGGGAGACAAAGGTGGTCGGGCGTGGTGCTGGCCACCCACCCCCTCTTGTGCCGTGTCGGCTTTCATAGGTGCTTGCTAACAGCACTTGCCCCAACAGTCTGTTGCAGGCTATACGGGGGATCTTTGTCTTTGATGACGGTGGTTGTGGTGGTTGTGGTGATGGTTGTGGTGGTGATGGTGGCGGGTGGGGGGTAGCGTTGGCTTTTACATGATGGACAGGCGAAGGAGGAGTGGGAAAGTGAAGTATGCCTTCTGTAGCTGTGGTCTAGTGACGCTCTCTCCTCCTCCCCTCTCCTCCTCGCTCTCCTTCCCAACCCCCACGCTGCCGCAGTCGCGCAGCACAAAGAAAGCAACTTTTTTTTGTTATCCCTCCTCCTTCGCTCGGCTCTCTCCCCCACCCCCCTTGCCGCCGCCACCACCGCCTCCTTTTAGCCATTGAGCCTTGCGTATTGCCCGAGTGAGTTTGAATGGGTGCTCGCTGGTGCATGCGGTTGGGATGGGGGTTACTGTCGGGGCTGGCCGCTGGCGTGGGTATGGAGGGGGTAAAGGATGGGGGGTGAGGCCGGAGTGGGGGTGAAGGCGGAGGGGGGTGGCAGCTCGAGCCAGTGGAAATTGAAATGGGTCTGGTTTTGGCCAGAACAAATTATACTGTCAAAGCAGATGTGATGTGTGACCCTAAGCGTATGGAACGTTAGCATCTTACTTTCCCCATTAGATAATTGCCCTAACTTGTCATTAGGTGGTGGCGGTTGCCTTGTGTTTTTTGAAAGTGTGCGTTTATATATTTTTTTTGGTCGGGGTTAACATTTTTCTTCATTCACCACCGCTCCCCCCCTGACTACACTGAACCCCCGTTTAAAAATAAACCCCACGTCCGTGATTTATTGCGGTTTAAATGCAGATATCCTGGGTGGATGAAATATAGTTTTCCTGCTCGGGGGGGGGGGGGGGGAGGGGGGCAAGTCCTTGCGACTTAACTCGCAAAGCAGGGCAGAAAATGTTCCACCACTTTAAGCTCGACCGCATACTTGCTCAGAAATGTTCTGCGACTGTAAATGACACACGCGCTTCGCGTGCGCGCGTTTTGGGGTTTGCGCACGCCTACATCAAATGCGTCGTCGCCGCTCGCTTGGCCTGCTTGGCGCGACGCGGGACGCGACGGAATATCGACGACGGTCGTCCGGGCCAAGGGTTTGCCCTGCGTGCCTCCCGCTCGTGTGGGAAATAATACCGACGATGGGTCGTGCTGCTTGGCTCTCCGACGATGTCGGATTTGTTGCCGCGCGTCTCTTGGTGCGAAGGGGGGGCGACGCGGTTGCGAGATGTTGCATCCCTCGCCTGGTATACAGGAGGTCGTGGGTTCGATCCCGACCCTGACACCTGTATATTTTGAGTTTGTGTGTCTCTCTTCCTGTCTTTTAGATTTTTATCCGGGCCCTCAGTTTTTCCCCGCCACGTTTATAATCGACGCGCTTTTTAAGAGTATTTGGAGACTATACATTTCCACACGATAAGCACACTTTGTTGAGCTATCATTTGTGGTCAGGTCGTTTATGAAAAAAGAGCTATATAGCTCAGTGGGCCTTACCTGTTAACAGGAAAATTGTAAAAAAAAAAATATATTAAGCGTGGTCGTTTTGTCCCCACGCCCCCGCTGGGAGATTTATTTCGGGAGCTCAATCGTTTCCGCGAGGGAAGCCCGATGCAGATGAACAAATGAGATGGAGTACATTCAGTTCCTGAAGAAGCCTCCCCAAGCACGTGGTATTGAAACGCCGGATATGCCGCCCAACACACGGTGCATCGGAGGAGGGCAGCTGTGACCTCTTTGTGTGTTTATTTTGGGAAAACCACACCTTGTAGGTCCCGAGTTGGTGGATGACATATTTTCAGGACTCCCAATACCTTCTGTATAAACATCAGCACTGGAGAGACGAAGGCAGTCGGGCATGGTTAAGTGGGCCAGGAGATGGTAGTACAGCAAGTGGTGTGGTGGTCCGGTCTGTTGTGGACCTTGACTGTGTTTCATTGTATCCATGGTTTTACTCGGGGTAATTTGGTTTATGCAATGTACCCTGTACTCATTGTAAGGCTGAGCCTAGGAGAGGGCCAGGCCCAGTTTAGATATCACTCGCCACCGATGTTATCCAAGGCTGGGAATCGACCGCAGGTTGTTGAGGATTGCAGAACTTTGTATGAACCAGTGCGTCGGCCCCCCCTCCCCACGTACACACGCACACATACAAAGGACAAAGATTCCCGTTTACCCACACACACACAAAGAGGCACACACACAAAGACGCGCACACACACACAGGCATGTGTGGGTGTGGTGGTGCACTCCTGTAATCCAGCGCCTTCGAAGCTGCCTGCGTGGATCACAGATTTCGTCCTGTTTGCAAAACTCCCTGGTAGAAGATGGTACAGCAAGTAGGCTGCCAGAATATCTGTACGAGTTCTAACAAGCGTGTGTGTGGGTTTTCGCCCGTTACTCCAGTTTACACCCCCACCCCAGATACACAAAGATCCCCCATATAGCTTTAATATACTTTTGGGGCAAGTGCCATTAGCGAGCACCTATGGAGATCGGCATTGCACACGAGGGGGTGGGTGGCCGGCGCCACGCCCGGCCACCTTTGTCTCTCCAGTGCTGTTGTTTTATACTCCACACTAGTTAGTAATTTGAGGCTGAGTTGACCTTGTGGAGGGATCGGATTATATAATTGTCACACATGTAGAACACTCTGTTAGGGAAAACGACCAAGCCTTCCTGCCCGTCATCATCTTTCGCCATGATCTATGCACTGCTGGATGAAGTCCTCCCCAAACAGTCTCCCTCCTGCAGATTTCCTGTCTCATTATCAGTCTCGTGAAACAACGGAAACAGGCGGAACACCGTATACAAGAGTTTAGCGGTTGGCTTTAAAAATCTGAAAATGTCCAACACGGGAGCTGTGGAGCATCTGGAGAGCCTCTGTGCTCGCTAAAATTAGCAAATACAAACGCACCTCGAGTCCTTTCTCCAAAAAAAAGAATTTGCACTCTGTGAGTGTCAGAGAGTAGAGGGGGCGGTTAGTGTACCCGCGCTATGAACTCTCGCCTGATTTCCATCGCCCGTCACGTGTAACGCCCGTTTATCAAGTTACTCCGATGAATTGCCGAGAAAAAAAAAAAGCACGTGACTATTGTAATTTGTCTCGGAGAGCAGCGCTAGGTAAGGAACAGCATGATGTGTGTATGTTGGAACTTATTTCGCACCGTACGTAGCCAATCGTGCTCATCGGAGGTGCGGGGGAAGGACAACAAACTAAACGAAAAAGCAGTTATAAATAAATTAGTTTTCAGTCTAGATAATTAAAATATTTTATTTTTACCTACGTGACTTTACCGAATAGAACCAAAGAGTATGGATCCTTGCAGTCACGAAAGCTTCAAATGTAGAAAATGATAACAATTTCCAGAACTAATCCTGCAAAGCCTCGCCGTGTCACACAATTCTCACACACGGCTAATTTAGCAATTAAACACGACGTTTCGCTTGCAGCTGCGCCAAGCGTCTTCAGGAGAGAACACAGAACGTGTCCTGGGTTCTGTCCTGAAGATGCTGAGGCTCACACTTGCGCATACTGGTGTGCTTTAGCGATAACAATCGGTGCATTGTTAAACGTTTGTACGCGTTACAGTTCCATTTATTTGGCCATGTCGGGCGGTGGACATGCATGCGACTCGATGGTTAACGCACGGATCAATTATGAATCAAACGGCATTGTCCCTGCCAATCCCTGCGGAGTTAAATCTGAACGGGCGGTATCTCCCCGCCGTTGGCCCACACAGATTCATGTACTGGACGGACTGGGGCGAGGTGCCGAAGATCGAGAGGGCGGGCATGGACGGCACGTCGCGCTCCGTGCTCATCGTCGACAACATCTACTGGCCCAACGGCCTCACGCTCGACTACGACAGTGGCAAGCTGTACTGGGCCGACGCCAAGCTCAACTACATCCACCGGTGCAACCTGGACGGCTCCTTCCGGTCAGTGCTACCACGCACCCACCCCGCGGTACCCGACCGCACGCACTACCGCACGCGCTGATTGCAAGAACTGCCGCGTTCACATCTGCGGACGTGACCGCAGCACGTACAACCGCTTCGAAAAGCGTGATCCCGAATTGTGGCAATTCGCCGAATGACTAAGGGTGTGTGTGGGGGGGTTGGTGGTGAACGGTTACAGGCCGGTTGATAGACGAAAAACAAAACCCTCTTGCACATTGAGAAAAAAAAACACGCAACTTTTGCGCCAAGTTGTGAGAGTCTCCGAGTGCAGCCACAAATATTTCCACCCCTTCTCCGTCTGTGAATGGCCTTGCCTGTTTACTCTCAAGTCATTATTCGCACATTTACAGGACTCAAGTCTTCTGCGGCCCCGCACCCCTTTCTGTCTAACGTCTTACCCGGCTGTTGGCAACGATCTCGTAACGCGCGATTGATTTGCTTTCCTTTTCTTTCTTCCAGTGTGCATTATTTTCACAAGCGGGGTGGGAGAGGCTTTACAAATCCACATTATATTGTGGGCAATTGTACAAGCGAAGCCTGGTCCCGATCCGTTTGCTATTGTCGTGCGTGCGCGTGCGCTCGTGTTTTTCTGTAACTGCCGCCGACGCCAAGCAGCGGCAGCGGTCAGACTGTGTGCGTAGTGGCGCGCCGATGAAATTGGCCGAGTGGTTTCCTTTACGTGTGTTTGTTTGGATCTGTACAAAGCGACCGCTGCGCTTTTCTCGTGTGGACCTGAAGACTCGTATTGTTATTTTATTTGCCCCGCCACCCCGTTCAACCACTTGCAGAAACCGCTCGCCGCATTACACGTCAGCAGGCCACCCAGTTTTCTTGAGCTCCCGGTCAACATCGATCCGAGCCCTGATAAGGACATTTGCTGCTGTTTCTCACGTTGCCGGCATCTTTTTAGTGTCGTCGGTGAGCCCCGGACCAGCTCTCTCACTCGTTCGAAAGCACCTGGAGCAGCTTGAGTGGTTCCAATTTCTTAATGTGGCCAAACGGTGAATTGTTCGATTAACCACTGGAAAACGAGGTGGGGGTCGGCAAATAAATAATGCTTGTCGTCCGTGAAGAAGAAAATCGGCTTGTTTCGCGAGCCCTCTGTTAGACGTTGGCCACCCACCGTGAAATTCGTGTCAACTTGGATGAAATGTGCAGTGAGGTGGGCAGGAGATGGCAGCACAGCAATTATCAATTGAGTGTCTCACCCCCTCTTGTGTGTGTGGTGGGTTTTCTCCGGATTCCTTCAGTTCCCCCCCACCATCACAAGTAGCCACACACCAATCCTATATACATACAGAGCATTATTTAAGTTAAATTTGCATCCTACAACCCTCTACTTGGCTTCCCACCTATTTTTTTAACAATTCATAGGCTCGCGCTACAGGACCCACTGCGCCCCTCCACCCCCTGCCCCGCTAACGTGGAATTTCAAACCTTTTTCTCAGAGCCGCTGACATAACCTAAGACGGGAGGTGGGGGGGGGGGGTAAGCTGTGAGAAGTTGCCGGACACACTTTGAGGCTTCATCCTCTGCCCCACCCCCCGTTCTCCGCCCGGCACGTCTGCGGCGCGCAGGCAAGACGTGATCGCGGGGAACCTACCGCACCCGTTTGCGCTCACGGTGTTTGGCGACACGCTCTACTGGACCGACTGGCAGACGCGCTCCATCCAGGCGTGCCACAAGGAGACGGGCGAGCGCCGCCAGGAGATCCTCTCCAACATCTACTCGCCCATGGACATTCACATCTACAGCGCGCAGCGCCAGCCCGCAGGTCGGTGGTGCTTGCAAATATTTTTTTTTTTTTTGCTAAAAACGATTATAAACTAATTTTGTTATCTTACCAAGTAAGGTCCACTGAGCTATATATATGGCGCTTTTTCTGAACTGACCTGGCCATCACGAATGATAGCTCAACGAAGTGGCTTGGACATCTATGAAACTACTGGACATCTGTGAAAAAGAGCCTCATAGCTCATCGGATTCCTCCAGTATAACTAAATATTCCGATTCTGCTTATCGTTTGGACATTTCTAGCAGCCAAAATACTCTAAACGTATAGTTCAAAAATTTAGAGAGAAAAATCGGAGGACCTGGATAAAAATCCACACGACCACAGGGAGAACATGCAAACTCCAAATATACAGGCTTCGTCAGGGTTGGTGGAAAACACGGGGAGGAGAGTGATGGCGGGTAGAGATCAGGAACGGGGGGCAGTGCAAGGGGGGCATGTGGGAAGAGCTGCCCCTTGGCTACTCTGGCCAAGGGAGGAGTAGGTCCATTGCTCAAGCTCCATATGTCCCATCCCCTCCTTGCTGGTTGACGCGCTTGTGCCTTCCCCGGCAGAGCCGCTAACCGAGCTCCATTGTCTCACTGCAGCTTACGGACACAACGCTCATTATATACTTCCGAGGATATAAACGCTTGTTCGAAAGTGGTACAGAAATCCACGCGTATGCATGACTTTTCTTCTTCCCCGTTTAGCTTGCGGCGGGGTATTTCTTTTGGGAATCTACCGTCACCGTTGCCCGTTACTCTCCCGTAAATTTTAGATTCACAATGACTCTTACGCCACAGACGACTTGCACTGCAGCCTTTTGAGCCATTATTGTGGGATTAAGCGTTGGCATAGAGGTGAGCATTGCACTGCACCATGAACCTGGCATCTGTTAAATTCCCTGCCCATGGCTAACATCAGCGATAACGTTTGCTGGTAACCCTTACTCTCAAGGCGGGCCGATACAATTTAGCACGCACACGCGCGAAGTGACGCGAGTGAATTTTCACTGTGCCCCTGACCGCCACCCTAAAACTAATCTTTGTCATAACCTCAACAGTGATCATTCTCCTAAGCTTTGTCGTAAAGTTAACAACCGCTTTCTGAACAACTAAATTGAGATTTAAAATAAACGCTCTATTTCCTCATGTTGCTATCATTGGCCCGGATCCTGTCTACGTAATAATGAATAACTTTCGATCCCGTTGTCAGTCTGACGGATGGAATGTCTGTGTCCTTATTGTCCGGTCGTGGAGGTGGTTTTCTTTTTTGTTAACCATACATTACCACCACGCTGGTCAGTGTGGGGGGGTCATCAAGCTGCGTTCTTGACCGGTTCGCATATTGTTGGCCAACTGATGTTATCTGTTTGCGGGAATCAAACACTGGGTGGGGGGGGAGGTTTGCAGAGTTAATCGTGTAACGAGCCAGCCCTGAGCCACACACTGCACAGTTGCACCATGGTGTACTTTGACCTTTAACCTTCCACCGCCCATGTGTTTTTTTCTTTACCCTCACACAGACCCAAACCTTAACGTCAGCATCATCGGTCCCATTGGCGATCGCTATCTCGTAGCAAGGAAAGCAAATTGTGAAATATTAACTTGCCTGTCTGTGGTTTTTTTTTCCACCACTTTTCCCGCACCCCTCCCCACCTCAATTTCTTTTACACAGCGATAAAAGAAAACACCCACAATCCTCAGCATGACTGTTGCTGACGTGGGATTGTTATCCTAACTTTGTTTTTGTTGTTTGCGGATCTGATTAGCTCTGTAAATGTTGTGATGTAATTTTCTGCCACTTTCCTCCAGGCTTGCATTGTCGCGCACCACCGAACTTTGGCTTTCTCACCATTATCCCCCGAACGAGCACGCGCGCATGCATGCCACAACGCCCGGCCGGCGCCCTGTCCTCTCCGTGTAGCTCGCACGCATCATTAGGCCGGCGAAGTGGGAATCGCAGCGAAGGAAAACGGCGGGCTCCCCTGTTGCGGAGGACCTGCTGCGACCGAAAAGGGGGGGGGGGGGGGCCTCGAAATTCCGTTGCGTGCGTCGCGCTTAACAACAAAAAAATCTACGGATGCCCTCGCGCGGAAAATCCACGCGCGTCTCTCGCATTCCGCCGCTTCGGAAATGCGCAGCTTTGGCAAGACCCGTCCGCTCGTCTCGGAGCCAAGCGGCACGGCGCGGCGCGCGCGTGTCCGCTCGCGCACGTGCGCAGTCTGGCGGAGCGTGCGTTTTAGTTTTCCGGCCAAGATCGCTCGCACGCTCTGCGCGCGCTCTCTCTCTGTGTCTACACCCCTCCTCCCCCTCGAGGAGGGGGGTCGGCGGGGGGAAGGAGGGGGGGGTGGAGAAGGGTCACGAGGCTGGCGTTTCGTTGCGTGTCACGTCTGCGCTCGGCAGTGGCGGTAGCGTAGCTTGGAGCGAGTCCAGCTTCCCCCCCACATCCCCGTCCCCCTTGTGTTTGTCGGCCCGTGGGGCCTCCCGGCTCGCTTGGCGGGAGCGTAAAGCGTGGCTGCCGCCTCCACCACCGCGCTCGCCTCCATCCCTCCGAGCCTCCGCCAGGCTCTGATTAGGCCATGGGGGAAGGGTCTCTCTTGCTTGCTCTTTTGCCTCTGTAGCTCTGGTGAAAAGAACATTTTTTAGATATACAAAGACAAAGATCCCCCGTATAGCCTTAAAATGCTGTAGGGGCAAGTGCTGTTAGCGAGCACCTATAAAGGCCGGAACGGTACACAAGGGGGTGGGTGTCCAACACCACGCCTGACCGCCTTTGTCTCCCCAGTGGCGATGTTTACACATCGCACCAAGTACTCATTTGAGGCTGAGTCTACCTAGGGTAGGCCCAGGACCGGTTCAGATTATCGTCACCGGTGTTGGCCGTGAGCGGGAATCGAACCGGGTTGCCAAGTTCGTAGCGCAGCGCGCTGTCCGCTACGCTGCCGCTCCCCATACACACGCGCACTCACAGCGATACCTTCCGAATATAAAACTCGAAGGCTATTATTTATTTTCCCCCACCCCTCCATGTCCTGTGTGTTTCCTTGCTTGCGTGCTCAACTGTGCGTGTTTTGCGTTTCTTCATCCTGCTCCGTGCGTCCGTCCGTGCGTGCGTTTATTCCATCCCCAGGATCGAGCCCCTGCGATCGCGACAATGGCGGTTGCTCGCACCTGTGCCTGCTGTCGCCGAACAAGCCCTTCTACTCGTGCGCCTGTCCCACCGGCGTGCGGCTCCTGGACAACAACAAGACCTGCCGCAACGGTGCGGCCCTGTGAACCTCTGACCCTGTGACCTGCGACCCTGCTACCCTTTCCGGGGGGAAGAGGGCAAGGCAGGGGGGGGGGGGGTGTTACGATTTTTGGGGAAATTGTAAATCAGAATATTTATCTATATTGGAGGAATTCTGAGCTATTTTATATATTTTTATTTTACCAGATAAGTCCCATTGAGCTAATTTGCTTTTTTTCGAACGTTACCTGGCCACAAATTATAGGTCAATGAAGTGGCTGATCACGTGGAAATTTATAGCAGCCAAATACTCAAAACGCATGTTTCTAAATGTTGAGGGGAAAACGGAGGACCCGGAGAAAAATCCACGTGCCCACGGGGATGAGAGAGACACGCAAACTCCAAATATACAACAGGCATCGGGGTCGGGATCGAACCCACGACCTCCTGTATACGAGGCAATTCACTTAGCATCTCCTAGCCACCGTAGCAGTCTAATATGGGACCGCGTGGCGTGACAGGATAATATTGCGACGCCGGCTCCGCACCTCCGATTAGCACGGTTGGCTACGTACGGTGCAAAAGAAGTTCTACGTACATACAACATACATACATCCTGTGTTCCAGTCTGGGTTTTAGCCACGGCACGTGGTGAAACCGGGTTCCTGAGTGTAGCGAAATAAAAATTTGAGGACGAAACAAAAAATTAAGTTTGCAATGTGACCATACTTTCAACCGTATTTTATTTTACAGTGTTGCGGTGGGATGATCTCAGCACAGTCCCCATATCACACGTACATTTTCGTCTTCATTCGGCATATTCCTGCTTGGAGAAGTGAACTCAAGTGTTTGTCTACCATATAACAAACACCTCTTGTAGTAGGGCATGTGAGGCGGTGCACTTGTTCTGGATAAGAGGCAATTGAAAGGTTTTCAAAAGTTCCATTTTGATGTCCCCTATCAGAGGCTGTCCTTTAACATGGGGTGATGCTATGCAACTATTTTTAGAGTTTTTTCCCATAAAAACCACGTCCCGTGACCTGATGTTAAAATTAGTTTGCACCGTACGAAGCCAACCTTGCTAATCGGAGATGCAGGGGAAGGACAACAAACTAAACTATTTCCTAATGAGGTCCCTGATATAAATGCTCACCCCGAGCTATGAATGCTCTTGTACGTGCATTGTCTTCGTACTAAATTTTTATTTAAAGCTTTCGTGACTGCAGGGATTCATATTCTTGGTTCTTTCGGTAAAGTCACGTAGAAGGGAAATAATAAAATAATAATAAAAATATCTATATGAAAATATATGTATTGTTTTATTATTTGATTGTTTCCCTTCTACGTGACTTTACCGATTGAACCAAGAATATGTCTTCGTACTGTTCGCCTTTTGCTGTTGTTCTCTGGTCTGACACTGGTGTGATAAGGCCGTAAAGAAGGCCGTCTCTGGTGTTGTCCAATCAGTTTCAAAGACAATGCATATTTTTAGCAGAACATGTGTTTTTTTACATGTTCACCACAAGTAGTGTATGTGCGGTTAATGCAGTAACTTGATTCCTTGCAAAAGGTTTCTATTTGGTGTTTGAACATCTTAACACCTCCTGTTTTATTGCCAGAAAGGGTAAAACCTGTTCTTATTTTTCATAGTAAAGAAATGTTTGCAGTCTCGATTATTTGAAAGTGCATAGCTCCAGTGACTTCCTTATATCGGAAGGAAGAGCGTTCTAGACGGCCGCAGACGTGCATCTGAAAGCACGCGGCGATAGCAGTGACCGTGTTTGTAACGTAACTCGGATAAAAATAAAGAAATTATTTGACAGGGAGGTGTCAAGCGGGCGGAGGGGGTGGGGGGTGAGATAGGCAGGTAGGAGGTAGAGAAGCCACTGCAGATGTAAGAATTGCTGGAAGACGCTTAAATAGGCGCCACCGTTTAACCATGACCCCATCCGGAAACGTGTGGGTATATCCACGATTCAATTTCACTTTGTGAAACTCGCTGTGAAAGTAACTGCAATATTGCCAACGGTAATAAAAACACACACATTGCGCACTTTTTTCCAGGAAGCAATAAAAAACGACTCCATTGTCTTCACCCTGCAGTCCTGGCAGGGCTCTCGCAGCCACCGGATACGCACACGCACACTTGCAGCAGGAGTAAGAAGAAAAATAATATCAATCTCTACCCCGCACCCGTTCTCAATAATCGTGGTGGTGCTCTGCTGCCGTTAGGGTCACGGTCAGGGAAGAGAGCCCCCACCTCCCGCTACCCCCCCCCCCCCACACACACTACCGCGTGTGGTGGGCGGTAGTGTAACGGTTAGCGCTTTGCACTACGAACCTGACGACCCGAGTTCGATTCCCGCTGATGGCCAACACCAGTGACGGGTATGAACAGGTTCTGGGCCTCCCCTAGGTCGACTCGGCCTAAGATGAATACCTGCTACGATGTGTAAACAACACCACGAGGGCCTTCATAGGTGCTGCTCGCGAACAGCACTTGCCCCAACACTCTGTTAAGGCTACACCGTGGGATCTTTGTCTCTGCGTGCGTCACGTAGGCCCCGCGGAGCTGCTGCTGCTGGCGCGACGCACCGACCTTCGCACCATCTCGCTGGACACGCCGGACTTCACGGCGGTGATGCTGCCGCTGGAGGGAGTGCGCCACGCCATCGCCCTCGACTTCCACCCGGGCGAGCACCACGTCGTCGACCGACACCCGCGCGACGACGCCGCTGCCGCCGGCCCTGACGGCGAAGGCGGCGGTCACGTGTACTGGACGGACGACAACGCCCAGACGATACGGCGCGCCAGGCTCGACGGCTCCGCCAGCGAGGTGCGGCGGCGCCCGCGCTCGTCCGTCGGCTCTCGCCCGCCCGCACTTCCAGCCACCTGCTCTTTCGTTCTCTCACGCGCCCGCACGTCGCTGGCTTGATCGGCCCGTTTGTCACTTCCTCACCCGCTCGCTCTCTTGCCCGCACGCTTCGCCCGCCCGCCCGCCCGCCTGGCCCCCCACCCACTTACCTGGCAGCCTTGGTCAGTCTGCAACTGGAATTGAACCGTCCCGCGTTTGGCCGTACGCGTGCGGTGCGATTGACGCTTGCCCCAAACCTCTTTGCGGGGCCGCAGGTGCTCGTCTCGCTGGAGATCGAGCACCCCGACGGCATCGCCGTGGACTGGGTGGCGCGCAACCTCTACTGGACCGACACGGGCACAGATCGCATCGAGGTGGCGCGCCTCGACGGCTCCAGCCGCCGCGTGCTCGTGAGCGACGGGCTCGACGAACCCAGGGCCATCGTCCTTGACCCCATGGCCGGGTGAGTGAGGCTCACGCGAATCACGGGCTGGGGGCGCGGGGTGCGGGCGGAGGGCGGTGCGGGTGAAGGGGGGCGGTCGTCGACGCCGCCGCTGGCAACGATGTATGTATGTTGAACTTCTTTTGCACCGTACGTAACCAACCCGCGCTAATCACCCGGTGCAAGTTTCTTAAATTCCCCCACCCCAACCTTCCCAATGTCTCTGTTCACCCAGCAGTATAAATTGGTTCACCACAGTCAGTATTACTAAGTATGGGAAACTTCCACCACTTCAAAGGTGTCTGGCCAGCATGAAAGAGTAGGCCAAACACCCTCTCCAAGGGGCTCTCTTTAAAGCCCCTTTCCGCCAGCATTGGTGTAATCAAGCAATTGCAGGGCCACACCGTTTCCGAATCTGTCACTCGAGCAATTGTGCATTTAGGTTCTGCTCCTTATTTGCACTTGTGTCGTGTGTCCACCGTTGCGCCGCCATGCAGCTACATGTACTGGAGCGACTGGGGAGAGCTGCCCAAGATCGAGCGGGCTTACCTGGATGGGACGGAGCGATCGGTGCTGGTCAACACCTCCCTCGGCTGGCCCAACGGCCTCGCCCTCGACTACTCCGAGGGCAAGATCTACTGGGGCGATGCCAAGACCGACAAGATTGAGGTGCGGCTTTCTCTTTCTCTGTGCACGCAATTGTGGCAGGGAGAGGGAGCGGTAGTGTAGCGGTTAGCTCGGTGCGCTTCGAACCCGGCGACCTGAGTTCGAGTCCCGCTCACGGCCACCGATGGATGAAAGGCTTCCGTACGCCATGTCGATCGCGGAGTTTTACTTTCGTCGCACTTTGTCACACGCATTCGTGCGCTTTGGTGAACAGGTTGGTCAGTGCGGGGTTAGGGGGTAGGAGGAGAGCGGAGACCGGCTCCGATAAGCACCCGCCACTGACGTTAGCCGTGGGTTGGGTTATTGAACTCGGGTGGCCGGATTCACGATAGCTACTCGACCGCTGCCTTTTTTCAAGTAAAAAGGTGTAGAGAGAGGAGAGAAAGAAAGAAAGAAAAAAATGTACTTGTACCCGGACGCTTTTAGCGGCGGAGTCACGTCAAACAACGCCGTCACGGCGCGCGGCTACCGTGCCGTTTGTAACGCGGGGAGACGAGCGAGCGGCGGTCCGTTTCGGCTTTCTCAGTTGAGCAAACATCCTTGTTTTGATTGGCGTGGGAGGGAGAGAGGTGCGGCGACGACGCCGCCACCACAATTACCCCGGCGCTCGCGCAACACCTGCACCGAGGCTGGCCCCGGCCGAGCCGTCGCCACGCCCGGGCTGGCTGCCGGCAGGAGAAGGAGGCGACGACCGTCACGCCCACTGGGGGCCCCCGCGCTCCCAAACACGACGGGGGGTGGGGGAGGAACGTAGCGCCGCCGCGGTCCCTGTTATTACACAAAAGCCGCTCGCATTCTTGCTCTTAGCCGTAATGCCGCGTGCGTGTGTGCGTGTTCGGGTGGTAGCCACACAGTGGCTTGATCTGTTAGGAGCGTTGAGCGTTTACACCCTCGTTTTGGGTTGCGAGTTTTAAAATCGTCCTCAGATATAGGATGCGCGTTGCCCTATGTTGTCACGGCATGGAAGCCAAGCGTGGCCTGGGTAGTACTGCGATGGGTGACAGCCTTGACTTGCAGGTGTTGTAGACGGCCTGCGAATTGGCCTCGAGATGGCAGTCTGGAGTGTCACCCTCTTTTATGGGTGTGCTGGGTTTTCTCTGGGTTGTTCATGCCACACATGAAGCCTAACTAATAATGAAATTGGCCAAACATCACAAAGAAGGCTTGAGACTCAATGATGGTTTCCCTGGATAAATAAAGGATCTGATGATTATTGTCATTATTCTTCTTCTTTCTCTGAAGGTTGTTTTCACTGTGGCATTTTATTTTCATTTTTTTTTACTTTGTAAAGATAATTTAACAGACGAAAAGACATCGGGCCACATTCCCAACTTGGCAAAACAACCGCAGTGCTTCGCCCAACGTCTTGGCGATTTGCCACGCCGGCGGTGATGGGTTAAACGTCGCCATATTTTCACCAATAAATTTGACGGAAATAAACATTCGCACACGTGGAATCAAGGACAGCGCTCGCTAATGATTTGCGACGAAGATAAAAAAAAATTACGCGCACGGGAAATGTTGCAGTTTTAGCATTTTCTGGTCGATGCCTCCAGCCGTTAAAAAAAGTCTGGTTATGTTAATACATTTCAAAGCCACTTTGGGGAAACGCTTCGCGGTCGGCGTCCCGTCGCCTTAGCGTTTTCGCGGACAAGCGAGCCAGTGGACGTTTTCGTAAAAAGGCAAACTAAATAGGAAATGGCACGCAGGCGATGGCAGGCTACTCCGGCGTCAGCTCGTGGGGCTGCAGGGCTCAGAGGTTTGCGGAGGCCGCGGTAGAAAGCTGCTCCGCTCTTTTTTTTTTTACATCTCCCACACGCACCAAACCCCCCCACCCCCACACCATGGGTGCCTGTCATAGGAATTGCAAATGCACCTTATTGTCACAGTCTGTCGGCATCCTTGCCTTGTTTGGCCCAGTTACCCCGGTGCGGTTGTGGCAGGACAGACTTGGGCGGTCGTGTTGGGTGGTGGTGGGGGGAGGGGGGGGTTGGGAGAGCGACGGCGTTGAGTGCACTGGGCCTGGGAGGCAGAGCGAGCGAGCGGTGGCGGCGAGGCTTGGCCGAGTAGGCAGGCGATGGAAGGTCTCTCCCTCTCCTCCATTCACTGGGAGTAAAGTGGGAGCTGGGAGAGCGGTGACCCCAGTGACCTTTCTCCCGGAGTAAACGACCAATCAAACAGAGAGAACTTTTGTTCCGAGTGGCGCTTTTTCCTCAGACCGACGCTTCCCATATCGCCGTTGTCCCTCCCTTCACCCGCATTCCAGGCTAAAGAAGAAGGGGGGTTGTGTGCGGTGGGGGGCCGGGGCGGGGGGGGCAGTGGGGGGTGGGGGGCCTTGGGGGCAAGGCCATTGAGCTCTGGGGAATGCTGCGAGTGGCTGGAGCTAAAATAGCCAAACTCGCCCGAGTTTTTCGCTCCCTTTTGATATTCTTTGCCAAAGTCTTTCCAGTCCGCCCGCCGGCAAACTTTGAAGTCCGCTCGCCGCCATCTCGCCCGCGTTGCTAAAAAGGCCATTTGGTCGGAAGATGTCTTTGCCCGTCATGTCCTTTAGCTCTTGCGCGGAGTTAGTTTTGTCGTTGCTTGTTGGGGGGTGGGGGGAGATTTTTTCTCTTTCGCCGCAAATTTGGCAAAGATTTTTTTCTCGCTCTCCTCCTCCTCCTCCTTATCCCCCCCCCTCCACGCCGCCGCTGCTTGCTCCGGCTCCACCCTCAACCCCTCGGTGTTGTCTGCTTGGCAGTCCTCCAGCGACGTCCCTTTTAATCTTTCTTTAATCTTAGCGCGCCGTATTGTCGGTGGCGTGAGGGTGGGGAGGGGAGGGCCTGTCGGGTGGCGGTGGGGACCGGGAGTGGGGGGGGAACGGGCAGAAGGAATGCCGCCTAACAGCGGGGAGGAGAAGGCCTTGAACGTGGTTCTTAAAGCACATTAAGAAATATAAAGCTTTGAGAGAGAGGAAAAAAACACGCTCTGCCTGCAAAAATAGTGGAGTTTTTTTTTCCACCCCTCTCCCCTCTGCTGTCCTGCGTGCGTTGGGTTTCTCTCTCTCTCTCTCTCCCCCCCTCTCGGCCTCTCTCTCGCTGCGTGCATTGGGTTTCGTTTAAAGCGAGGGCTCGTCGAGTCGGCCGGCAGGAATGTGGGCGTGCGAGTGTGCGAGCGTGCGAGCGCGAGCCGAGCGGGACAGGCGTGCCAACGTTTCCCACCGGGACGGAACAACGGCCACACCACGGGTGCCGCTCAATTAAGGCGCCCCCACAGACGAAACGTTACCGGCGGTTGTGGTCCCCCCCATCCAGAACCCCCCCCCCCCCCCCCCCCCCCCAACGTGAGTGGACATCGCTCGCTCGCCGTATTCGCTACCTCCTGCCCGATTTGATACCGAGTGCCGATCTGAGCCGGCGAGAGGCCTAGCGGGGGCGTTTGATCCAACCCTCACGTCCTCCCCCTGCGATTCAACGGTTTTTATCGTGATTCAAGGTTGCAGTGTGATGTAAGAATCTACTTTCCCGTCGCGTTCGTGTGTACCAATTGCATGGACCTGCAACACGAGTCAGTCGAAGAAGAGCGTAGAGTCACACACGTGCGGGATCCGATGCTCGCGACTCGATCGCACCATCGGCCGATCGTCGCGCGGTCCCCACCAGACAGCGGTAAACACCGCGGAAAATGTTTTATGTGAGTACGTTGTATGTATGTTGAACTTCTTTTGCACCGTACCTAGCCAACTGTGTTAATCAGAGGTGTCGGGAAAGGACAACAAACTAAATACAAAAGGAGGTTCTAAACAAATGTGTTTTGAATCTCGATGTAAGAATGCACAGCTCCATTGGCTTCCTAATATCGGAAGGAAGAGCGTTCAAGGCGGTCCGCAGAAGCGCGTCTGAAAGCGCGCGATGCGGTGACCGTCTTTGTTCGATGGTTAGCCAATAACCGCTGCGAGGACTTGCGGGCGAGAGATCGGACGTAGCTCTGCGGTGTCCGCTTCCATGGGCCCTTGTTTGACGCGAATGCTCGTTGCCCTCTCTGCGAGAGATCCAAAGGGATGCTTTTGTCACGTGACACGGTGTTGACGGCTCGCTCCCGTCGGCCGCCTCGTCTCATCCGTACCGTGTTCAACCGCCGTGCCCAGCTCTAAACATTGTCGGAATATTTATGCATACTGGAGGAATCCAATCGGCTATGAATTTCTTTTCACAGATGTGGGGCGGGTCAGAACGTTGCAACAACAAAAACAATACACAAACACGATAGGAGTGCAAAGTATAGGAAAGGTAAACAAATCACTTAAAATAATTATATATAACAAATGAAACAAAAAAAATGTCTTACCAGGTAAAGCCCACTGAGCTTTATTCACTTATTTTACAGAAGTGACCTGGCCACAAAAGATAGCTCAACAAAAAGTGGCCCCTATCATCATGTGGAACTTTATAGCAGCCGAATAACCCCAATGCATGTTTGTAAACACTTCCCGTGCTGCTTCTTGTCACGCACCACTTAACTCTGGAACACCATTATTATTATCGCTTGTTGTTGGTGTGTTATTGTTACGATTCTTGTGGGGAGTGGTAGTGTAGCAGTGAGCGTGCTGCGCTACGAACCCGGCGACCTGAGTTCGATTCCCACTCACGGCCACCGACGGATGAAGGGCTCTCGTAGGCCATGTCTATCGCGGGGGTTTTACTTTCGTCGTATGAACAACACCGGTGATGATTATCTGAACTGGTCCTGGGCCTCCCCTAGGTCGATTCAACCTCAAATGAGTACCTGGTGCGGTGTGTATGAAACATCGCCACGGCGTCGGGCGTGGTGCTGGCCACCCAGCCCCTCATCTACCGTGCTGGCCTTCACATGTGCTCGCCAACAGCACTTGCCCCAAAAATATCTTAAGGCTATATGGGGGATCTTTGTGTTTGGTGTTGTTACTGTTCCTTTTATTTTTTACATGAATTTTTTTCTTCACCACCCCCCCCCGGACGCACTGCATTTTGTAGCCGGGAAATGTTTTG